ATTGGTGCAAATCCTAATTATACAATATGAAAGAATATCATTAAGAATCTTTAACTAGGAGCCAACCATCCCCATTATGTGTTGTTACGATGGTTCTCAGAGTGACAAATGCACTAGATTGGCCACTTCTTATTGAACGTGACGAAGTTCGTTGGCTCGAAGGGGATATTTCAAAAAACTTGTGCCCTTATGAAAAATTGCCTGAATTGATATGAGCGCGCAACAATTAGGAAGGATGATCTTACCAAGACCAGGTGCCAATGTCGGTTTGGATTTAACTGCCGCAGTTCCTCAAAACTGCTCAATGCAGTCTGTCTATCTGGAGCACTGTCTGGTGAAGCGTATTTCTGCTGAGAAGCGGTGTCAGCATCGCAACCTCTGAAGCACAGAATTTTCAACAAACAGGATGGTTACACAAAATCAAGTGTTATGTCATCTACATGTCCTTGAAAAAATCCAAAAGCAGGATAAATCAAGCTTTCTGGATGTAGGGGAACTTCAAACTATTTCAAATGCAGATCATTTTCGTACAACTTTTTAGGCCGTCCCATGAAAAGAAACAAATTAAACCTGAACGAATGTGTAAGAATATATGCAACGTATTACTGAGTTCTTCAAATATAAAACAATGGTTTTTTAACAACAAAACCATGTGCACTGTGTAAAATCTGAGGAAAATCAGAAAACCCTTTTAGATAGACTGTATTGGTTTAAAATGTCTAGTACACTTTCATAATTTATTAAGATCACAATGTCAAGGTTTAGAAAAACGTCGGTCAAAATACGCTGCAGAAGAAGTCAAGAATACATAATTTTGGGTGCGTTATTCTTCCCGTTTCAAGAACCAAAATTGGTGGTTCATGAGTACCTCCTTGAGAAAACTGATTATAGCATAAAGGAATCATCATGAGTACAGAAATATCTTCAAAGCGTATATAAAAGAGGTGTATTTGAGGCGATACGAATGACTTTTGATAAGTACGTTGGATTCCTTCTGTCGATAGAGCCTCTCCTGATATATCACGATAGTACAAATTCTTTGTTTCTTAACAGGACTCACCCTCGTCGTTTTGAACGTCGATTTCCCCTTTGGAGGTGTTGGAATGCAACATTAATGAGATCAACTGGCTGATCGGGTGGAAGGCACCTTAAAGTGATAAAAGTTAACATGACCATGATATTTCTTTTTGGATGCACACAGGTTTTGAAATATTTAATAGGCATGTTAGATTTCTTACATGCTTTGCTATGAAGAAAAAACCGGAAGCACCAACGGTAAATCAAAAACGATGGATTCCAAGTTCATACTCCTTGCACTTGAATGTGATCAGTCCGGCTTCTGCATTGTGAAGATGCTTTACCCTTATTTTAAACAGATGATTCATTTTCAGAGCAATTTCTAATTCCCCATATTTTGGAATAACCATCGTGAAATCACGTATAACCAGGTTGAAAGACAGTATTATTTTCTAATCAACCTCCAAATTTAAATAAATGTAGTATTGGCAACCCGATCCATAAGCAAAAGTTTGTTGGGCGAGAGCGTGGTTAGCAAACGTGGGAAGTGTTGGTCAAAAGGACGGAGATTTGCCGTTTTTACCACTTTAGGATTATTCAAAGATGACCCGCATGAAGGGCCTTGCCTGCGCTTAAAATGAGCAACGATGAGCTCAAATCAGATGAAATCGAGGTTTATGCCTCCATTCTAGACAGCACGTGAATCAGTAGGAAGGCAGTACATAATTCCATCCGCACACAGTACAGACGCTGGGTAGCTAGAAAGGTTCCACCACATGAGGTAAACACGAGTCATAAGAAAAGCCATCTCAATGCACGACTTCCTCCACCACCGGTATATCGAGACGAACCAAAACAATGCGGTATTACTATTCTCAATAGGTTTTTTACTAATAATAGGCAAAGTAGATTAATGAATCTGACAATATCAAAAAGTTTTAAGTCGATTTGGGCAGCGTACATCACAACTTAATGGGATATAGGTTACATCAGTTGCAACCAAATGGGTGAGACTACGATGAAAGGAATTAGACAAAAGTCGGTGGAAACACCTGGCTTTTAAAAAGCTATAACAAAAATGCAACCACTCGGACCTCCAAGCACTTTTTGCTGACTGAAATGAGCAACTGTCACAGTTCGTCCAACCGTACTAATCTCAGGCAAAAAAGCAAATTTCGACTCGAAACTAAACGCTTTGTAAATAGCGTCTAGAGCTATATTCTGTCAGGCAAAGGGAATCATTTTCCTGATTGTAATGAAAGCTGAGCAATGTTCCCCACATTATGTCAACCCCCAACAACATAGCAATCCGAAAAATGTAAATTCTATTGTAGTTTGAAAAAAGGCGAGAAAAGTCCAGTTGATTAACTGGAAAATAGGTGCTGCTTTATCGGCTTATAAAATGTAAGCAATGTTGGCTCGAAAAATTCGAGTGCTCGATCTACGAAGTAAGAGAGTAGACGTGAGTAGTGCAATTTATCCATCCCGTATCTCAATTTCAGTCACAGAAACAGAAGATCATGATTAATTGTTTATTCTGTTGCGTTTGACAATATTAATTAGCCAATAAAATATTTTGGTGCATGGGAACACCAAATGCCTGCCGATTGTCGAGCTAAAACCGATTTGTCTATCAAACACCCACTTTCAATTCCATTTTACAATAAGTGAACATTACGAAGCAGTACACAAACGGGGCTTACTCCATTAGTTTGAAGATTTTATCAGTCTTTTATCGCACATAAACGTTATATTCTTTACTGGGAAAATAGAAGGAGGCAAAGTCAAAAAAATTTGGATGGAATATTGCCTGGTATGCACATAATTAACAAATGCAGTATGGAAGTGACAAGCAACACGGCGGAAATATTAGCTCAACATGTCATAACACCATGTGGGCAAACTGAACACTGCTTAAAAGTAACGTTTGCGTCTGGAAAATGATTCGCACTCTGCTAAATGTTATGGAAAGCATATTGAGAAAGGCAACGACAATATACACATCGTTCCACGATATCCAATTCTCGAATTCCCTTTGTCTCATGCCTGACCTGCCCTTCGCAACAAAACCGTAATTTTCTACAGGTAATAGTACAACCCACTTTGCCGATGCACACATCATCCAGATATAATAGTGCTTCGCTGGCTTCGTAATTAATATTATTTGTTAGTACAAAAAGATTAGTCGTCATTTACAGGCAGAATTAAGCATGGATGTAGAAAATAATCTACATCATTGTAAGCAAAAAAGTAACCCTGATACGGCAAAAAGCGCACTTGTTTTTCAGTGATGAATAGAAATTTCATTTGAAGCAAAACAGATTGCAGAGAAATGTCACCCTGCTAGAATGGCAATCGGAAGAACCCTCTGACACAATCTTAGTAATGAGCTCTTTGAGCGTACTTTATATCTTCCAATGAATCTTCTTGTCATTCAAATTAAGAAGCACTTATTTTGATTCTCCACTTTCATTTTGGTCCAAAATGCACAACTTGCAGCAAGTTTCGGTTTAGCATCGTTTTAATTCCATTTTAGTCAAATATTTGACAATTAGACAATCACAAGAAATACAACGAAGAGATCGAACACACCGTTTCATTGGAAACTAAACAGCTATATCATATGAAATATTGGGTAGCATAGGAAAGTATTCGCCGGAAGGGGAGTAGATTAATATAATACGTAAATAGTTAAAAGGTTCAAACAAACAGGATCGGAAGCACTCAATGGTTAAAATGGTATGAAATTATATTTTCCTGTTTATTTTAAAATCACTCGGCCAAATTGTGAGCCCACGTTTCGCTGGGACAGCCGGTAAGATGCTACTGCAAGAATTGCAGTGCCGACCTCCAAGAAAAAGAAAAATAGATATGGAAATTACTTCAATCTCAAAATAATCTATGGTTTATCTACAAAAGCTTCAATCACTGATATTGTCGTTGCATTCGATGGTTACCGAAATAGCATAACGTGAATCCGGTCTCCACAGGCTCCTTTAAACCGATAGTTGGCATTTCAAGCATTATCTTTAATTTCTTCACTTTCCACAAAAGACCGAAAGCGCATTCAATGCCCATTTGACCGTTCAACATTGACAGTGCCACAGATTATCAAGTAGGATTTTTGATATGAAGACGTAAAAGACCGCACAAATGCGGAAAGATAACATGCAAAGTAGGCCCGTTGCTTTATGTAGTAAATATGTTAATAGTTCCAACAATGGGGTCTTAATTCCCCAAAAGAGATGCGAGCGACAATCACACAAATACAAAAGATCTCAAGAATAATACTAAGTCAAGCTTATGTCTGGATTAAAAATATCTCGCTCTAGTCTAATAAAGACACCTGCGTCTGTTTAAAAGACGAAAGGTATCCTTAAAGGAGGGTCAATTTGCAAACGTGGTGTAGATAACATCGAAATATATAAAGGGTCCGATTACCCGTCAGCTAGGGCTGCGATAACGGCTGAATCAAGGCCCCCTGAGAAGAGAACGCCAATTCGAGTGTGTAAGCACGACGATTTGGTACCTGATTTAAAACATGTTTGGCAAGTTGGTGCAACTAGGCGAACCCCAACAGCAACAGCTTCTTTAAGGAGACTCAGTAGAATATTTGCTGGTTCGTGCCTATCAAAGTGTTGAAGGGTTCTCAACTCAGAATGGCTCAAGACGGATTCACTTTTCACAGACGCGTTAAAAGGATGTGAAAGCCAAAATTGCAGGTGATCTTCGGACCAGGGATACCAAGAATCGACTCGAAATCCCCCGCCTGTTGTTGCAGAAGCCACGTATATTCCCGAGGCTGGGACTTCAGTAAAAATTCCGTTCTAAAATTCAAAACCAATATACAAATTACAGTTACTTATAAGTGAAACTAGGACGTACATCTGAACGACAGAGGCTGCCCAAATGAGAGAGATCGGAATTGCAGACAAGTGAACGCCGACCAAACTTGTCACGTCCGAAAAATATTCGTTTTGCTGATCTTTTCACAAGAATGAAGGCGAAAGGACCGCATATGGGACCAAAGAGGCGAATTATGGCATCGGTAGAACCATCACAAGCAGTCAGTTTCTCGACAATATATTGAGTATCCGACACGGACGATTGGTGGTTATAAACCCTACCATTCCAGAGGAGAATGGAATCTGGAACCTCTGATGGTCGAGAACAGAAGGCAGGATTTTGTATTAAGAAAATACTCCCATACGCCTTGTATTCGATGCCTCCGAGAGAGAAGTCCCGCATCGGCAGAGAAACTAGACCTCGGTTATCAAGAGCAGAGTGGTCGAAGCTGCTAAATTTCTATCAGTCATCAAAAAAGAAGTAGTATCACAAACTTCGTAGTTCGTAGAAGTACAGAGGAGAATCCCACACATTTCCGTCAAACACAAGAATTATTGAATAAAATAGTGGACGAGTAGAGTCTTGCAAGTAACACCGAGTCTACAAAGGATACTGTTATAAGCCACAAGAGTAGAAGTACATTCTCTTTACACGTTCAAAAAACGGAACAGATCACCCAAATGTTCACAAATAAAAGTATAGAGGAGTTAACATGGCGTTAAAAATTAGATGACACTGTTTACTTGAATTTGGAATGGCAATCAAGAAAAATCTATAAAATATTAAATAAAATATAAGGCCACGTAGACACAAACGGGATCGCACACACCCGCAGGATATTTTTGGAAATCCCTGCCGATAACCGAGAACGTTGAGACGAATAAACACATACACCTTTGTGCTGTGAAATTTGAATCTTATGCACTACGTTGTTTATGACGCAAGATTCTTTGCCTAAAAATTAATTGAAAATTGGTGTTCTAAGAGACTTAAAATGCAAAAATCGAATTTGAGTTCGACTGCACCTATTCTTTGGGCTATAAAGTCGTCATTTTTTCCCCACGTCATTCGTTTTTTACCTTAAAGTGTGCGTAAAGTTATGAATCACTCTAAAATTTTTTTACTTAGCGTAGCCATGTTTCGAATTATATCGTATTAATTTTAGCATTATGTGATATTTAAATGCACCACTGGGAAATGCATAATCTAAAAGATCAGTGGCGCACGGACCATTTTTAATTGCTGTCATTTTTACTCGTGATTTTAATTTCGCAAAGACCCAACCGCCCAACCGACTTGGCCACTGTTGGGCTTCATGTTGCTGTTTGTCGTCGATGCGATTATGAAGTATGGGACCGGTTGGTATTTCCTCATTTACCGCGTACTAACTTGGACATGTTAATTAAATACTACCTAAATGGCAGTGCTATGTTGTTTTGCCGCCGTTTTTTGGTACGCCACTTTGAATATGGAGGTAGGGTGTGCTATTGTCTCTCTCAGTGAACATAATTGTAGCGTCCCGAGACTCCCTGAAGACGAAAGAAGACAAAATACTCGGGCAGAATATGTATTCAGCGCAGAGAAGGTGTCTGGGCTATTGGCATGGCCCCAAAAGGCCAGCCCGCCCAGCGAGGTACAAAGGGGCTAATTCGAAGTACAAAAGTGGCGCCTCACCAGAACCGAGGGATAAACCACTATCGTATTACATAATACTCTCTATTCCTAAGGACGTGTTTGTGGTAAACGCAGTTTGTGGAATTCTATGGCCTAATTTAAACAATTCTGGGCACCAAGTTTTCACTGGTCACTTCTTCTTTAACTTTTGGGTTCTGTTAAATTTGCAAAAGTACCGGCTTTAAATTAGTCAAAACAATCTAGGGTTGGAGGCGAATGGCAAAGTGTTTTGTTATGTTGATCTAGTATAGGGAGTCTTGTGTTAAATGGTCATCTCCACTACTGCCGTATCCATGAGGCATGCTCGTGTCAAATGAGATACTAGTGCATTGTTGACGCACTTGTTATTGAATTGCAAATATGTCATGTTAATGGTATCGAAGCCCGTCCTAGGCCAGTCTAGATACCTTTAATTTAGATGACAGGCGGCAGTGATCCCGCGTACTCTAACCACCGTGCGGTAATGTGTTGCCATGGTGACGTAGCACCCGCGTGTTTACACAGCTATAGATTTCAAACATGGTTTGTAAGGTGATGAAATGACCAGTTGCCTAGTAGTAAGGCGTCTAAATTGCGGGAACGCTCCGTGTGGAACCGTACCTGCATCGGTGATACAGATTAGGCGCGTCATTCAATCCTGCGAGCAACCTGTTTGTAGGACACCCGGGCCTAAACGACCATGTGGGTTAATGCTTTTTTATAAAGTGTCGAGTTGTAAATATCATTTCCTATAAATAAACTCAGCCAGGGGAGCTCTCAATTTAGCATACTGTGGGAGGAAGGGGTTTCGGTGACCAGAGTTGACTATATCGTGCTGAAATATTGCCATGCACATCAAATATCTATATTTTGACAAGTTGTTAGTAGCCCTGAATAAGTTTATTCGAAATTTGCGGCATTTGCAAGTTCTAGACTTTTAATGGGCTTAACCGTTTACTCTTAAATGCACTCCGATTTAAATCGTCCCCTTTTCGAGTGAGATTTGTGATTCTAGCCTTCTTTCTCTGGCAAACGTCACGGTTGTATCACTTTAGATCACTCATGCTTGCAAAGCTGAACAGATTGCAGTCTGGTCATCTGTCAGAACCCGACCTGTAATTAGATTGGCTTACGGCCTTCGCATGCATCGTGCCTCGCATGCGTTGCGCTCCATTGCTTTTTACCAGATTGGCAATCTTGTGACTTGGATATCGCCGTTGGTGGTGTGAGGTTGGGTCGCTCATCACTCTCATGGTTTCTGGGATTTCAAAGAAAACGAATCAGGTTTGCATTATTTTTCCCCTTATTTTCAGTGTATCTGCCCATTCCCATGTTTTACATCATCCAATTCCCTCTGTTTTCATGCTTATCACGGTAGCATTTTTTGTTTGAAGTGGCGAGTACACTTTTTGCCGTGAATTTTAATTCTAGAAAGCAGCACTAAACATTTTTTTGTAATCCCAATTTTTGTAAAGCTGATTAATTTGAGGATGTTGAGTGAAATACATGTGTCCTTTCAAATTGATGTTCATGTCATTGCGCGTTCGATGATTTAAGTGATTTACTATCGTTACGCCGGTTGGTGTGTAGACATTGACCGTGTCTGCATTCATGCCTTTTCATCTGTAAAGTAAAGTATTGTAAGGTAAAGCAAAGTAAGTAAAGTAGTGGTTAAATTTGTACGACGAGTAATAGTGTTGAAGAAGTTGGATTTGGTGAAATGTACTTGCAACCTTCGGATTAAAATCGACTACACTGAATTTATTTGAACACGCGATGCTCTTGCCTTTATCCACATTCGTACTGCTTTACAATTCCATTGAACTTCCAAAACTTGGAACGGTAACGAGCTATAGACACATCACTATGCACATTTTTGAGTGCTAATTATTGATGATGAGATGAATAATACGTCTCTGATAAATTTACCTACATTTTCTGCGTGTAGTCTCCGATTGGCTCAACACAGATTCCTACGAATTCCAGAAAGGAGACATTAAACCTCAAAGAACGACATGATTTGCTACTGTTTGAGAACTCTCAAATAACTGGTGAAATTATCAGTGCTGTCACCTGAAAAGTGGGGGTATATAAGTGCCCTTCTAAAAGGTGTGATTTATTGTCAGAATACAGACCACCGAGAAGCTGGTGCAGTGGAACATTTTTTTGGTGCATACAGATTCATTCCACTTTTTTAGAGACCAAACTGATTTTTTTTGCCTTCCTTAGCCGGAAACACTTGAATTCCTGTGGAAGGAACTAATTGAATCCATTTCAGTCGGTAACAGCATTAATCCGAAGTAATCTAAACGGTGATTTGATGCTACAAGAAATTTGAGCATACGAATAGGTATTTTGCATATGCCTACCTATGATGGATTACCTGGAGGGCAATGAAATTGCGAATATTTTTTTGTTAGAGTTGAGTATTTTTACGGCTTACAAGAGGTTGCTCAATCAACTTTGGGAAGGGTTGTCAACCAATCACGATGATTGATAGAGGCTGACCTGCATAACATTTAAGAGGGTAGTCCCCAGTCGCTGCTTACAAGGTGTAGTAAAGTGGATGTGGTGAGAGCAAATTGTTAACATTATTTTACCGAAGAAAAATGCTCCCGATCATTCCAGTTATTGGATAAGGCTTTATCTCGTTGTAAAGGTGGACCGGCTGCCCACCGATGGTGAAGTGAGTCTACGTCGAACCGGTCCGCAGGGCGGGGACTTCGATTCGTTGAGCAGTTGCAGTGGCAGCAGCATCAGCGCTCCGACTCCACCCACTCGCTCGCGCATTCTCCATCGCCTGAGGCGTTTGTCAGTGCCATTGGTGCTGGGTCAATTTCTCTCTGCCTTGATAGCTGTCACCGGCATAGCCAGCAACTATCTTGTCCGCTTCGGGGTCAGCCTTCCACTCACCCAGAACCTCCCACACTACTTCCTCCTTGCCCTTGTCTACGGCATCCTCAGCTGGCACAGACTCCTCTTCCACCCCACTGATAGCACTCTCACGCGCACTCAGAACTTTTGGTACTTCCTACGCGATCGTGGCTGGCAGTACTTTATTGCTGGCACCATCGATGTGCATGCGAACTGGGCAATCGTCTCTGCCTATAGCTACACCAACCTGACCAGTGTACAGCTCCTTGATTGTCTCGCCATCCCCACAGCTATGATTCTTAGCCGATTCTGCTTGAAAACACGCTACAAGTGTGTCCACATTATCGGCGTGATCACCTGCTTGGCTGGCGCCGGAGCCATGGTTGGTGCAGACTACCTGGCAGCGAAGGCGGTCGACACCAGTGTAGGCACGGTTTCTGCTGGCGCCACCCCTCAAACCTCATCGGTGATATTTGGCGACTTTTTGGTAATCGCTGGAGCGGTAGGATACGGCGCTTCTAACGTTTATCAGGAGTACCTTGTGCGGAAGTTTGGGGTTATCGACTACCTGAGTTTCTCTGCACTTGCGGGTACTCTTTGGACAGCCATTTACTTCATCAGTCTGGAGTACAAAAAAAGTAGTGAACTAATTCACTTACCGGCAAATGTGAGTCCTTCTCCATCTTAATGTGTTACTGGTACAATCCCTAACCTTTGTGACTCCTCTAGCCGAACTTGACCGCCTCCCTGGGGTGCCTGGCGGGATATTCTGCAGCAATGTTTCTGCTCTACACTGTACTACCATTCGCCCTGTCGAGAACCAACTCGGTTTTGGTGAACCTCTCCCTTCTCACCGCGGACCTATACGCTCTGCTGATCGGTATCTACCTCTTTGGAAATATCTTTCATTCCCTCTACCTTGCGTCCTTGGGAGTAATTATGTTGGGCCTCTGCCTATTTGCCTCCAGAGACCCCATGTTCCAAGGCATGACCGAGACTCCCCTGGATGAGGACGACGCCTGATCACCCCACTTCCCTTGTTGTAAATCACCTGGTGTGTTCGCCATCAAAATCCCCATTTTTGCATTTCACTAGCCCACCTATTATTGGTGAAGACGACTCAATGGCCGTATGCCTTCTATATAACGATGCATTAGATAGGACTGGGAATTCGCGACCAACTAGTGGGTGCTGCCGGTGTTCCTCTCTGCCAAAAACAAACTGAAAACCCCTTGATTAGAGGTATGAAATCCGAATTTCTGTTAGAACGTCCGCAGATAAACCCAGCGACCACTAATTAGCAAACTGGTGTCAAATCAAGAAATGTAAGATACGCGGACCGGTTTGTGTTTATCATCCTCACTACTCATTGCCTTGTATTCTGCCAACCTATGGGGAAAAACTTACTGTACTTATGAGCTTCAAGGACCAAGGGGGATAGGTGGGAATTATATGCAACGATGAAACAGTGGGGATCCACCACTTCACATCGGAAAACCTCTCACTGACTTCACGCTTAAAATCCCCCTGCTGGGGGATCGCACTATGAAAATAGGGGAGGGACATCTCACAAGCAAGTCCTCCATCGGCTCTAGGAGCAATGAGCATCAGAGTTCGATTTACTGGAGAGGAAATCGGGGTCACCCACAATCCATTCCACATTAACCATCAAGTTAAGGAAGGCTGAGAACCACTTTGAGTCATTGCCCTTCGAAAGCATGCGATCTCGCGTCCGTTAAAGCAAGGAGTCTACTGCAACGAGGTGGTCAACCAAGGGTGGTATAGGCTGCTCGTAGCCGAAAATCATCTCCATCTCATCCGCTCGTTCACGCTTGAACTGAAAACCATCAGAAGACGACACCTCAACTTCGATGGAGCACGGAAAAACTGGGTGATTGTGCCGAAGTCGTACTCAAAAAACTGACAGACGACCACTTCTCACCTTCACCGTGATGTTCGTCATGCGGCTGATGCATTCTGTCCTTCAATTTGACGCGTAAACTGTGGAATCGCATGCCGTACTTGACTGATCGTGATCGAATGGGCACACTAGTACAACTGCCTCCATGGACGCATATCGGGCTAACCACTATGTACACCAGTGGTTGCTTTAGGCATGTCATTAGGGAAAAGGACGCGGTTCCTCACTTTGAACTGACTACCCGTCTCCTCGGAGAAGAGATCGGGAGTGTGTTTAGACTCACTAAAGGCCTCAAAGGAGTGCGTAGAGAACCACTTGTAAAATATTGGTATTGTTCGCCACAAAAGTGTAGTCATTATCGCCACTCTCCACATACCAAACTCAGGTGGAAATAGTAAACTGGATGGCGCAATTCTCAGGTTTATGACAGTGCACCATAAAGTACTTGTCAACAAGAATGAAACCACGGCGAGTACCCAACGAGAGGAATGCCGAACGTCTTAGCTTCATCGTGTCGCTCTGGCACACTCTCAGGAAACTACATAGTCTTTGCTTTTTGAAGGATGTGCGAGAGAGCCGGACGAAATCAAAAAAAGTAAAAGAATAGTAACGCTCCCAACATGGGGAACACTCACGCTCTAATGTGGATCCAGACAAATTCTTGAGAAGCAAAAACGTTTGCTTAAAATGAACATTGTAATGGAACATAATTATATTGGATGAATGTAGTGATCTAGAAGCAAATGAAGTTAAGGCAAAGATGAGAAACCGATATACTGCCATAAAGGAATCCATGTCCGTGCCAAAAGCAGAAAAAGTGGCATAGCCTTTTCCAGCAAAGATGTTTGAGAATCGCATTGTAGCATATGCACCGGTGGGGACAAAATGCGCATTTTCAAGACCCATATTGCTAGAAAAGCAAGAACCAGGTTTAAGCGAATGAAGAGGCTAGATAGATGCACCTAGGTTAACGGCAATTGGGTCAACCAGCTTAATTAACTAGTTAATCTACGGTTTTTGACAAAGCAATGACCGTATATAAAATTAGTATTAGGCTGCAAAATTCTTATTCCCAATTGGCAGCAAATCTATTTAATTGCGAAATGAAAATATCGACCAGGTAACCTTAAGTACGTTTACCTAAACAACTGAAACTGCTAGATTCTAGGGAATTTGGGCTTTGAAAGGCAAGTTGACATGTATTTTTTTGTTGTGGGTGTACAGCAATCCATTGAGTATTCGGGTTCTAGAATTCGCGATCTGGCGAAATATTCGTTTAGGACTAGCTAACTCTCAATTGTGATTGAATACGGTTTTATTTATAACAAGCCATCTTCTTTATCATAACTTCTTTCCAAATTAGTAATTTTGTGATTCTGATTATAATTTTGAGTACAAAATTGGCAAGAAAACTTCTTTAACAGCAAATGTAGCGTCTTTGGAAGAATGGGCAATACAGCAGCCACTCAAGGAGCCTCCTTTAAAATAGTTCCCTTGTTCATGCATGTTCATTCATGTCCTAAGCTAACTTGTAGATTGAATTAATCTGCTTTAGCGCAGGAATGGGATGAAATTCGATGCCTATATTCAAGACCTACCCTTTCGTTGTCACTTTTTGGCTCGTATTCTACGTTCGCAATCCGTGTTCGACTCCAAGGCCGGACGTTGCTAATGCCTGAGGCATCACTATGTAGTAACACGATTGGTGGCCTCTCGATTCTGGTGAAGGGTCCGTTCAGGGCTACTGTAGCGTCCCGAGACTCACTGAAGACGAAAGAAAACAAAATACTCGGGCAGAATATATATTCAGCATAGAGGTGTCTGGGCTATTGGCATGGCCCGAAAGGCCAGCCCACCCAGCGAGGTACAAGAGGGCTAATTCAAGGTATAAAGGTGGCGCCTCGCCGATATCGAGGGATAAACCACCATCATATTACACAGCCTCCCTCCTCTTTTGAGCGTCATCACCGGCGCCCCCGCAGGTCAACCTCCCGCGTCAGCCATTGCAACTTAGTCGGTGCTGTAAACACCCACGACCCGACCGTGCCAATCACCAAATTAGGGCGCAGTTGAGGAGATACTTGACCTCAACGTTACTAGTCCCTCTTGGCAGCCTAACTAGATCTGGAATTTCGTCTGGTTTAGGGACTTGATTCAGGACAGGGAGTTGCGCTGGCCATCATGCGTGTCCGTAGACGGATGTAGGAACACTGGCCTAAAAGTAGATTCGAGTAAGGAAGGACGGGATTCAATACAGGTCCATGGGGCACGGTATGGGAAATCTGTAACGAAACTTCCAGATTGTTCACGATTAGTGTCGCTTCAGTCGTTAACAGCTTTTCTGCAGAACACGGGACTGGGATGGATGCCGAAGGTAGACGTCAATATTGACCCTTCTATTAGGGGTCATCACCATTCTCCCATCCGTAGCATATGTACTTCTTCCGCTCCGCTGTTTACCACGCAGAAGTGGAATATCAGGATCCACGTCCTTTAAGATCGGATTCGCTTTCCGCTGCCACCAATGTAGCGTCCCAGACCCCCTGAAGACAAAAGAAGACAAAATACTCGGGCTTATTCTTCATCAGGGTATTCACAGATCGCTAAAGTAATATATCTTCTTAGGTCCTACAGGTTATTTCAACTTTAGGAAAGACCGTCTGTCTATTGTTATTATTTGTACTAGTAAACTTCGGATAAGATTTCGTGCATGCACAGTGGATAACACTTTAGGAAACATCCAACTGCACTGGTGATATCAAAAACTCATATATAAAAAAATTGGAACATAGCGAGTAGGAAGTGCTGCAATATAATTAAAAATGAGGTTTTAAAATGTTTGTTAATAAACAATTTTCCAAGGCGTAAGCCCAATTCATATTTGCACCTTAATTTGTGGCATCGTATAACGGTTCTAGTTCGGAACATCATCGTTATTATTGTCTCGGCTACGAGTTTTGTCGAAATGGGTGTTTACGGTTACAAAGCTGACCTGCGCAGTCTTTTAACTTCCCCTAATTTTGTACTTCGCGGAGTTTCTGTCGTAAGTGATTTACTGTTTGATAATGTCTCGTCTGAAGATATTTTGCATAATCATTTTAGCTTGTATTGACCGAGATGGTTATTTTGCTGGACGCTGTATGTTTTACAGCAGTGGTTCAGCCTGTAGTTTCGCATTATCGGTCACAAGCCTTGGGTTGATTTTCTGTCTTGTCTACATGGCGATTGATGCTGGCTTCCTATGCTTGCTGCAAAAATATCGCAGGTACATCGCCATGGTCGAACTAGGGTTCAGTGGTAAGCCTTCCTAAGTATTCTACATCCCGTTTTGTCCTCGGTGACCACGAATATGTTTATTTTGCTAACATTTTTATAGGCTTTTGGACGTGTGCGTTCTTTATACTATTCTGTTACACGGCGGATCATTGGCGAATTTCGGACGCGGACCCAAATGACTTGGATTTGATAAGCTTGAATAACATTCGTGCGTCCATCGCCTTTGCATTCTTTTCAATATTTTCCTGGGTAAGCCGCAAGTTCATGTTTCTGCTAATTCTTGGTAAATTTCCCATATTCAAACGTCTTTTCTCCGAGAAATCATTTGTAAAAAGGAGGATATCTGGTGTTTTTCCTTGCGGAAGTTGCGCCACTCAAAGGTCTATGTTTGTCGTCAAGCTGGCTATGCTGTTGAGCTGTGTACATGCCTTAAGTTGGAATATTTGTGAGCAGCGACCGAGGGCATTTTCTTTTTGATTCAATTCTATAATTCCTCATTGTATTAAACCTTTGATTTGGTCTAATGTAGGTCTTTTCCAATGTAATCCACGCAATAGAAAACAAACAAAGCTCAAGTTTTTTTGAGTATTTGTCTTCTTTGACCAGATAATTTTTGCACAGTGGGACTTTTTGTTGTTCTGATTGCGCCATTGGGTCGTTTTATCCTTCAGCTTCATTTCCTATTATGATGCATTATTTTCATGTCGGTCCTATTTGCTTTCATGCCTTCTAAGCATCCTACTTCTATTGGGATACTTAGGGGAAAAATTCTACTTATTTTGTGGCTTTCTCTATTCGTGTTTTATGTTACCTATGTCCCTTCATTTCTGTTAGCCATATTGTGCTGCTATCGCATATCGCCTATAAATGTCTATGCTGGTTAGCACCACCCATGGCGATATGCAGATTCCATATGCCTGCATATGGTGTATTCACACCCACAGTCAGTAAATGCTGCTGAAAAGCGTGGTTTATTTATGGTGATTTTCTCTCATTATCTTAAATCATCATTGGTCCTGTGAACACACAATGGCTGCGTTGGTTGTCTGTGCTTAGGTGTGGGAAGGTAAGGCGAAGCTAGGGTTAGATAACCATATCGTGTTAATTTACCTGAATATCAGGTTGCACGTCATCGAATTATATCGATCACATGGGTTTATACGTGAATCTGTCTGCGAAATCTTGTTTGCCTCGGATTGCACGAAGTTCGAGGATTGTAACATCATTTCTCTATTTATGCATGCAGTTATCCTATGAGATGCCTAGTAGCTTATTTAATTCTATCGATTGTAATTAAGCTACTGCATTTCAAGGAGACACCCACGTTAAACCCCGTCAGATCCTATAACGCGGAGCTAGCTAAGTACTCCGCTGATCACGCGTTCGCTTTAGCTTGTTGTCTCTAATCCCCATACTCTACCATCATAGTCCATTTGTTTTCTCTGTGGTTCGTATGTCTTTCATTTCTGATACTCACACGAATGAGGAAAGAATTGTGGCTTTTGTTCGCTTAGTTGCAACTGCCTATTATTTTGTCATAGAAATTTGTATGTTGGTAATCGCTTGAACAGCAAATGCTCTTCAATAAACCTGTTATAGGCAGTGATTGTTGCTTAAATTTTGTCCTTAAAGTAACAACAATTTTGCAGTTGGCGCTTTTAGTTTGGACTGCCACTTTCTTAGCAGATAGGAGTGAGGTCCCAGTATCACTATCTCTCTCAACGACGTCTCGAAGTCGGTTAAGATCAGTACAATTAGGGGGGAGGGAAATATCAGTTATTACATAATCGGGGGAATTTTCGGTCGTATAGAGGCTGCATGAGAAGTACCGGTGCAGCAGTTGACAAGTCTGAATGCGAACTGGTAAGTTATACACAAGATCTTTCGACTCGTCAAAAAGGTCACCCCTTTTTGTCTGCTCTTTTACGATTTCACTGTGCGGTTGGTGACAAGGATGGCATACCTTTTCATTGTGTAATGTTCTAGCGTTTGATTCAGCGCAGAGAAAGTAAATATACCTCAAAGCTGGAGCACTCATGCTTTGCAAAAGTTTTGTTTTCATAACCAGGCCATGTGTTCCCTAACAGGGTGGTATGACGTATACGGCCTATAATCGCTACATTTCCATCCAAAATTACAATCAATATGCGGATGATGTGACTGAGGCGAGTCGTGATCCCCACAGGAGTGAGACAGGCGGTGGTTACATCGACTACTTTAACCATTCACCCTCAGTGGCGCAGGCCAGTTTCGACGCCTCCGCTACAATGGACGACGAATTCATCGCCGATGGCCAACACCGAGCTGGCGACACAGAGTTACTTACCTCTTAATCTCCTCTAGTCTTTCCTCCACCATTTTGTGGTGCTACTCCCATTCATGCATTGCTTCACCTCATTTCCACCATATGTTGCCACTTTATATTCCTTTTATACATCCTCCCAAACTTTGCGAACTTTATCCCCTACTTTCCTTTCTGAATTACGGCCTAATTTTTCCAATTGCTAACAATGTATCCGGATATTTGAAGGCAAGCTTCTCATTCATTGCTCACATGTGTGTGCATGCGAATGGATTTCACAAAGTTATGTACTTGATCGACGAAAAGTTTTGGGACTGGTATAATGCTATGATCAAAGAGCATCAGAAATGCGCTGAGTACACACATACCTGGTTTTATGTCTTATGTGATCTGTTGCAATAAAACATGGATGACATCAAGAAAGTTGAGATGAGGCTATACCCTCTGGATGATCATTCCTATGTCAGCCATTGCTGACATTTAATGCATCTCCACACGAGACATTTTAATTGATGATTTTGATCTCGACGTTACATAACTTTAGGTGAAATAGAAAGTCTATCGAGGCCAGTACAAGAATTTGATAGTTCCCCACTGGATGCACATGTTGCAGATCTTTCAGTCATGCTTGACTAATTTGTCTTCACTAGTAAACCCTAACTCATTGACTCCTCTGAGTTTTAACGCAAGGCACTTCGGGTCGACAACCGGATAGCACGGAGTGCAGTCACTTTCAATGTGAGATCGATGAGAAGTCATGATCAGACGTATTCTACGTCAATTCGAAGTGAGGTTGATTCAAATTGGATCCAACAGGCGGTCCGCAGTAGCCCTAAACTCCACACTCCCTTGTCCAAACTCTGAAGGCCTCATTTAACATGGTTTAATAATTTTCTGCTTGTTGGTGCATAAAATGAGTATCACATTAGCGTTAACACATATGCCCTATCCAACCTGTTTTCTCAGTGTCAAACTCCAGATTGGAGGCCATACAAACGTTGACCGTGTTGCTTTCTCTGCTGCTCCATTAATTCATCCGATGGAGAAACTAGTTTCCATGACCTAACGAAGATGCGAATAGCAACAATTCTATTTTACGTATCCTGAAAAAGAACAATTTGAAAGAAAGCCGCAAACTAAAGCCGTTGTTGCTGGAGCTACGCCGATAGACACCTGAAAAACCACTCATCATATTGTGAGCATCGTAGGGTCTACCTCCACTAGGCTATTGGAGGAAAGAGATGGGAAGGGAAACAGGCGTATATTAAAACACGTGATTGCGTGAAAAACACATGGAGTTAGTGGATTGGCCACCTACTCGTCGAAAGCCCATATGTATTGGGTGTTTGCGTGGAATGTGCTTGGCAGATCGAGTGTACGGGAAGTAGGTGTGCGTAAACAGAAGGATGAGAGGGGCACAGCCATTTATACCAAGAAAAAAAAGATGAGAAGGGAGAAAGAGAGAAAACAAAGTCACGAGAGGAGACAACAGTGTAAGCGTGTGTGAAGAGAAGCTAATTTAGGTGTTGTTGAAGAAGTTAGCAGGAAACTGGTCGATCTGAAATTGCTCCGATCTCTGGACTCCATTCTGTGTGAAGAGGAGACGTAGACGAAGACGCAGAGGTTGCTGCAAAAAAGTATTGGTAAGAAGTGGAGAGAGGTGAAAGGTGATATAGAGAGATGGTAAGAAAACTAACCCGGTTGGGATTAGACACCTTAAAGACCTGTGTCACAGGCGAGATACTGGAGACGGGGACGGCGGGCAGCAGACAGGTCGCCGATGGCGGGAACATCTCCAGCTGGAAGGTCTTAGGCACAGCAACCTGTAGTTCAAAGGACTCAATGGGGAGCGTGCCGGTGTTGTGCGAAGAGGCACGGATCTGAATGCACGGCGGTACCGAGGAGGCAAAGCTCAGATCCAGAGGATCGCTGGAGCGCTCGAAATCGAGCACCACGCGGATACTGTTCGCATCGTACACCATCATTGGTGGTGCTAGTTGTGAAGCTACCACTGTTGATGATGCTGTGAAACCGTTGGACGGCCGTGTCGTTGAGGCCGTTGCTAAAATAACGGATGCAAAATAAAAATTGTTATTAAAACAGGGCATCAACCCAGTTTTGCAATAGTTTTGCTTCGGGTAGTATTAGTTAATCCATTGCGAAACTGAAATTTAATGCTACTTCCCACTGGATTACATTGAAAATTTGGGAACATTCAGAACAGCAGCTCTTTCCATGAAGCGTACATGCTAATCGGTAATTAAATAGGTTGCGCAGATGAAAACCTTACTGACTTGAGTAAAAATCAACAGCAACAAAATTTTGTGCATATAAAGATAACGGGAGCCCAGTAAACACATTAAACACAAAAGTAAACGAATAATGCATCTTATTACTTACTGGAAAATATGTTACCTAAACCACAAGAGCATTTGGATTATACCTAATCGAAATATGGCAGCAACGGCAAGCTCACATTTCCGACCAGGCTCACCTGTGCAAGTAGTCGGTGCAGCGTCTGAGAAAAGTGAGTTGATGGAACTGGACATTTGGGCGGAAGGAGCTGATGCAGGCACTTGTTGCTGAGACCTTGTTATTGGTGTTTCGACCATGATTAGATCCAGAAGATCGTTGGTAGGAGTGCGAATTCCAGACCTCCCAGTGTTGATATTGACTTAAAGGGAGTGCAGGGAATTAGCTTAACGTTCATTCGCCATGTAAGTGAATCACAGTTGAGTTAATCAAGCTTGCTAAACAGTGAGCAGACGTATAAAAGTGACAACATGAGAGGAGGCAATAAGATCATAGTTTTTGACTCTTAAGAAGCTTTACAATTTAGGTAAATTATATCACTACCAAATGTATTAATTATTTTGCAGTGAGAAAGCTAACTAACTACAACATGGATAGAAGTAGTGCATTAGTGGGAATTCCTATCATAAAGTATGCAATGCCTAAGAATACAATTATGAACCGGTGTAAAAAAAACCCTTCAACTTAGTAGTTTGCGGCCACGACACCTTAGAAACTCACTATAGTTGGTATTTCAACAACAATTTCATCTGTTTATGTCAAAATTTGTCAAACTCATTTTGAAGCAGCTTCTGAAGCTATAGACAAGTGAAATGCCTTTAATGATGCCTGACATAAGATTAATGCAGCGGTATAGGCAGCTCGAAAAGTGAATTATTAGACTGGCTAATTACAAACAAACAAACGGTAATCCGTAGGAAGAAATAAAAAACCCCGTTGCAGATGATGCTCTTACTGTTAGAAGTGAGTCAGCTATCCAAAACACCCAAACTCAAATCGATGAGCATTAAGATACCAAAATCAAAGAACAATCAACAATGCTGCTATTTTAATTCGATAATCTAGAATTATTCAAAATTATCAACATCATTCGCTAAAGACCCATAAGAACCGGCCAACCAGCTACAGCGAGCGAATGCCTACTTCAATTAAGCTGACGGTGATAAACAGGTTTTATGGGACACCTCAGAAACGTGACCAAAGAGGACTCACATATTTGAGCGGAGGAAGATGACGAAGGAAAAGATGAGGATGGATCACCAAGAAGATCCAAAAGGTCGTTTGCGTCGGCTTTCGAAACCTGCGCGGAGGTGACATTACCAACGGGTGGATCCACAGACACACCAACACCATTCTGCCCCTCAGTATCAGCATCTATGTCGCCATCGACAACCTCGGAAAGAAAATTGTTGGAGGGTGCAAAGACGGGCATGCAGGCGAAGAGACCCTCGCGGAAGCCGTCCACACGTCTGTTGAAGACGGCGAAGTACTCCACTGAACGCTGCTGCAGCTCCAGATGCATGCTGGTTGAGTAGAGCTGCACCAGAGATTTGATGCGGCTGTGATGATGGATAAGTAAGAGATGAAATGAAGAAAAGGACTAAAGAAAAAAAAGAGTCGCTTACTCCTGATGTGCGGGTCCAAGTCGGACGCTGAGCTTCATAACAGTGGATACGACCATCTCCTTTGTCGCTAGGCTGCAAGTAGGGGAGGTGAGGGCGGTGGCGAAGAGATCTATGATATCCATTTCCGTAATTTTCTGTTGCTGCTGCCCCTCGAAATCATCCCCACCGATGCCTCTGCCATGCACCAAGAGGTCCGCGTACTCGCCCGTGCACCACGTGGCCACCTATGACGATAATGATGAGTCACAATGATTATACACACAACGGTATGTACGCAACAGTTTTGCAATGCGTTTAAATAGGTAGCGTTTCTCGGTTATAACAAACCACAATAATCTGAGCACTTTCATATACAACAACCAAATACTGCCCAGGAAACAAAAGAATAAGTAATGAGGAGGAAAACCGGTGCCAGCGATCCCGAATCTCACCGACTGGTCATGGTTAAGAGCACACCTTACAAAACCGCGAATGGCTCGAATTTACATCTTTCATTAAAAGAAACATCCATGCTGAAAATAGAAAATACACGGTTGTCTATAGACAATATGACGCATCGATGAGCGGGTGGTAAATAGCAATTTCATTACTGAGTGTGGGAAAATTTCAGACAAATTACCGAAGTTTGTCTGACGAAATTATCATAAAAAGATTCTGTTGATACTTCACTGGCGTGGTGAGTAGATTTGAACAGAATAAAAAAATTAACAGAATATTAAACGATATACTGATTATACCATCTACAATACTTGTCACCCGGATTTCCCACATATTTATAAGGGAACCTCCAGATACGTATACTCGATATTGTATTCAGAGATAAATCGAGTCACAATACCATATTTCAAATTAACAGTAGTTGAATAAATGCAACTTTGCAAGATTAAAGCTGCCATGAGGCTAAGAAACTGAAACACTAAGATGCGGATATAAGGTGGAATCTTCACCACTTTAACCGGAAGTCAAACAAATGACATATTTCCAAAAGTCACTTATTTAATATTACAAAAAGGAACATTTCAGCTCAATCAGCCAAGAGACATATTCGAATATCTCAAGCAAGTTGGTATAGGACTTACGCAGCAAAATTAAAGCCGCTAAATATTAAAAAAGATACTTTCAAAAGGCCCATTCAAACTCAAGGTAAATTTTCTGATGACTTCGGACTTTTGAACCAGTCATGCCCAATGCAACCAATGAGAATCCAAAGGCAGAGGCGAAAGTCATGGCTGTCAGTAAACAGTTAGGAATAAAACTCGAACAATAAGAGACGAGAGAAATGTGGTACTCAAACTGACTTGAACGAGTGGCTGTTGGGTCATGTCCTCCCGCATCGACTTGAAAAGCTGGGACACCGCATAAGCGTGCAGCTCGGGCGATTGAGAGATTAGATAGACCATGGAAGCCACCACATCATCCCGAGCTCGATTTCCGGCCTTACATGAGGGAGTGAAAGCAAGGGCGGAAATAAGAACATTTGTGGAGGTTAGGGGGGTCGTTCTCAAGGTTGTACTTACCAGCTTCAGAACAGTCAGAGTGGTGTCAACGCGCCATCGTTTGGTGGGGGAGTATTTCTCCACAGCCGTGATGATCTTCGAGCAGACGTCAGACTTGAACTCAACGTCACAGTTCTCCAGGAACCACAACAATTCCTTGATCACAGTCTTCACCGTCGAGGCGTTGATGAGAACGCAACAGAGGTCAAGAGCTCGCCTGAACAAACCGTGCGTTTAAAAAATAGTGGCAATAGGAAATTTAACAGCACACTTTGATTCATCATCAGCCCTTACCGTTGAATCGACGTATCCGGATCTTTTAGACACTCTAGAATTGTGGCACGATGACGCTGAACAGCACGCTGGTCGACACTGACAACACGTAGTAGAGTGTTCAACGAGACGTAGCGAATATTCTTATCCGTATTCAGCAGAAAGCGTCCCAGAATATTGATTGCCAGCACCTTGATAGGTTAAGGAAAGCATGTGGATTAGTAAAGAGCGAAAGACAATCCAAAAAAAATGAGACTAAATACTCGGCACGATCTTATGAGAGAAACAATAGAAATTCAAGTTTCGAATCCGTTGTGGAACCTAACAAAGCAATATAATGACTTATGAGTACGTGAAAACGAACGAAGGTGAAGGCGTACACGAAGTCCAGGATCTGACTCAATACCCATGATGGTGAGAACAATTTCATAGAGGATAGCGTGGCCGACGTTTTTGGTGGTTTCAGTGCTGGTAGCCACTTGGGCGAGAATGTCATTCATTGCCTCACTAGCCGCCTTGTCGCCGCGACCAAGAATACGCATCAAACGCAGAATTTTTACCTACAGAAGGCCCAAAAATTCACCTTACTCCATCAAACATAGTTCGCAACTCGTTGAATGGGGAAGAGAGTCTTCCCGATCCAACAAACACCGATGTTAAGAGAATCGCCAGCCATAGTAATGAACACAATTTATAGAACAGCGTAACTGTGTGAAGAATACTCAGCAAAAAGGTAAACAGTTGTAAAACATCCACTAGTTTGTAAAAAGATGTGAATTTTTATTTACAGTGACATTCAATTTGAATGAATTCACCTGAATTTAGCGGCTAAGATGTGATAATGAGCGCTGACTTGTAACTCTGCCAACATTTTGCCAAAGCTTTTGAGCTATGCCGGGTGAGAATGGGAGTTCTACGAACTTCCTACCTGTAAAAAGGGGTCATTGATTTTATTGACTTCATGATCTGGCGAGTAGCCAGTGGTCACCAGAGTCTTCAGTGTTCGCACCAGACTTGGTACCATTTGCTGAAATAAAAATAATCAACCACGTAGCGTCCCGTGAAATCGGCGTTACAATACACGTTCACATTGAGGAAGTCACACCGTATATTAAATCAAAAGATCTGAGCCTTGAAGATAGGTATATGCAGTTTGGTTACCTTTCTAAAGTATTTCAAGGTGTCCGGGCTTCGTTCACACATCTCAGTGATGAGGCAGACGGCTGTGAGGAGAACGCCGTTGTTCTTCTCGGTAAGTAGAGCACGAGTGCAAGGAATGAACATTTCCATTAGTTCGGGTACCTTGCGAACTATTCGGAAGGCACACAGCGCCGCCTAGTTGCGTAAATATGAAAGAGAAATATGACGAGACGAAATAAACTCGTCAGGTAATCTACAGTTTTATCTCACAATCGGTGCATGAATCAGAATGGATAAAGAGATATTTCATGAGCTTTGTCAAAACAGATTAAGATACTGACCTTCTTTTTGATGTAGGGATTGGTTGATTTAACCAGTCTTTCTACTTCTCCAGCCAAATCACGACTCATTTCAGTAGAACAGATCGATCCAAGTGTACAGAGGGCTAAGCTGGTAACGTAGACATTTGAATGATTAAGGTCACTAAAAAAAGAAAAATTTATTTTAATGTAGTCGAAATACAGACGTGGTCCCAATATGTTCATACCATGTGGAAGAAATTATGCACATGAGTAACCTAGTCAAGTTGACTTAAATCATTGCCTGAAAGGTCTACATCAATTGGTCGCCCATAAACTGGGGGACGCAGTGCCTAATGTTTGGTAATCACGGCTAATTTCGGGTATTATACGGACACGTATTCCAAGGCATCTGTTGAACGTCGAGGCAAAGAAGACTTACTTTTTAAGAGAGTTTGTGACCAGTAGATGAACATCCGATCGTTCATCAAGTAGAAGCATTGCACCAAGATAACCAACTCGTTTGTCTGTGAAACGGGGTGAGGCAATCAACTTGAGACATTCCATCTACCGGAAGAAACGATGAATCATCCAGTCAGGACAAATCAGACAGCCTATAGCAGCGTGTAAAAAGTCAATATTTGACCTTATCAAGGTTAAATCCTTCCTAAACAAACAAGCCTGTAAATCAAAAGCAAAAAAACAATAACACAAGGTAGCAGTGATGAGTTAAGGCCCTTTAAATTATTGATATGGGCAGATTTCGCCACTTAAGTATTTGTGAACCTTGAACACAGCCTCCCTAGTATCGTCTCTAATACTGGAAAATGCCGAAAATCCTAAGTGTTAAAATGCACAGCGCATGACAAAAACGGATTTTGTTACGTCTTCTACGTTGCTTAACGGTAGAGCGACAAAGTACAGAAAATGCAAATACTTAAAATATATTTCAAGATAAATAAGGGGGACTGCATTATCAATAATACTTCCTGTACGATATAATGGCAAAGACCTGTAGTGATTTACAGGAAATTGCATAAAACAAGCCAACTAGGAACCCAGACAACAGATGTGCAAAGCACAAGCAACGCATACCTGGCCAAAGTGGGCGGGATAACCTAGCATATGGATGTAGAGTAGCTTAGCAACATTACGACAGCGATGTGTGTCATTTTCATCACGAAAACTATCTCGAATTTGTGCACATTCACGGTTGACAATAGCTCTTTCCTCTGCGGCGGTTCGTGCTGAACGAATATCGCGAACCAAATCTCGAAGGCTCTTTGGCTTAGGCATTCTTCCAGTGAGTCTGAATCGTAAAAAAAAGCAGCGCAAAAAACTATGGCGTGCTCGATAACCTTGAACTCCGTCGCAAGCATCAGGCAATAATAAATGGTGTGAGGGTGAGTATAAAAGTCGGGAGGATAGATGCAATGGCGCGACATTATAACAGAGGGATTTGCCAACATGAAATGAGAACAACGCAGGGGAGGATGAAGAGACATGTTGATAGTATTAAGCTCTAGTAAAAAGAAATCAAAACCCTATAAGCCAAACCAGATGGGGCGTTTGCACATTGAACTAAGTAAACAAAAACAGTCAGGGATTAAACACGTTGCATCACCGAAACGAATCAGTTACACGACGTAGGAGACTAACTAAATGTGTCGGAAATACTCAATGGGAAGAGGCCGTGACCCCGAAACCAAAAAACTTCGCGAAAGTTCGCGCTAATACGGCTGATACGACAGGCGTCGCTATTTACTAACCAATTAGGTTGCTACATTTCTATCAAGTTAGGTGTAATCGTTCATATAAACATCCATTATATAAAATGTGTGGTTTGCAAAAAAGCAATATTTGCAGATATCAGAATTTTTTAATCATTTGTGACATGGCAAACAAATGGTTAGCATACTACATTAAGAATTCAGCATGAAAATAAGGTGAACACCGGAATAGGGCAACGTTGTTTAAGCTAATTAGCACTGTATTTAAAAACACGTTGCAGAGCAATGGTGCCACAACTGCGTTGTTTAAATGTGCCTTTTGAGGAAGAGTTGGTCGGTTGACTTACCCTAGTGGTGGAGGAGCGGTTAGGGGCTCTCGAGTCCTCTAAGAGCTCTCTGGTAAAGCCTCCCCAAGCCTGTCTTTCCTTATTAATTTCAACTAGTAAATATGTCCAAATTCTGCCAGCCTTTTCGGCCCGAGGATATGAAGACTAGGGAGGAGGAAATAGGCCGGAATCATGCTACATTGGTTTTAGCGCTGCCGGACCTCCCCCCTTACAAAGACGATATGAGCTTTGAGGAGTGGCTAAAAACCACCAAAATCAATCTACGTCTTTTCTCAGCGCCAAAAAATTACCCTATGCCCTCCTCCAGGACTTGTTTTTGGCCGCCATCAACGTCGACATCACTCCCGACACTGACATCGATCAATGCTGCGACACCTCAATTTAACTCATAATTGGTTGGGTAGGACAGACTCTCGTCTGGGACGCTTTCCTTTGCTTGCGAGGTGCTGGCGAGGATAGCGAGGAGTACGCTAGGAACGGAACGTGCCTTCGGAGGCTCACCTGCATACAGGGTTGCTAACTGGATAACGGTTCACTTCAGCCACGGAATTCGGCCTCACATCATAGTAGAGAAGCTCTGCCACACAAAGATTAACTCGATCAGCCGACTGGTCAAGTTTGCAACCCAAAAGCTGTAGGAACTCCGTACGACCCCGCTTTACCAGAGGCACAACAGATGGTCAAGCTCAACACCCTTGCACCGTGCTATTTTGTGGTGTGCCCTAAGGCCAGGTGAGCCTTCCTTTTCTCTATTCTGTCTGCTCCCAAACAGTTCTCATTTATTTGTGCAAGTTCCAGATAAACTAGAAGGACGTGCATGCTGCTTCCTTGACTTGAAGCTTATCTGCAGTTTGCTTAAGAGTGCGCACACACTTGGTGGAGAATGGTAATGTTGCATTTTTTAGGGATGAGCTAAGTACTTTGTTTATGGCGTTTTGATGATTATGAGCGGGAACTAAATAATAATATGGCTTGGTGGGTGTTAATGCTAGACGTAAGTTGGATTTAGTTCATCGCTTCTTTAGTTTGTTGCTTACCTTCAATATAAATAATGGGATCACTTATTCTGGGAGCTTCAAGAGTTCTACTAGTAGTGCGGAAATATTTGGTCTTTTTCGTGGTCCTTGGAATGTAGGGGTCCATTAATTTCAAAATGCGCGGCAATGCATGTACTCATTTACTTTTTTTTACTTTTCTGTTTGCTAATAATGACATTCCGCATTCTACTTTTTAAAATTACAGTGCTGAAGTTTATTTAGTATATTGGTTTACCTAAAATTTTTTCAATTTTGTTTTTAAATCAGCATTCATTTATCTACATATTTGACATTATGTTTATAAAATGCTAGCACATCTAAACGCAACTCTGAGTAGCTTGCATAGTGTGCTTTACGTAATAGCGCCGCGGAATGCGAGATTTTGAAAGCCAGGTCTAGGTCGAGGTATTGGAAATAAGGCTTCAGCACGACTGAGGTTGAGTTTTACGTTTAGCACACATGTGTATGCAATAGTATTAATTCGATAATGAAAGCGATGAAACATGTCGGGCATCGGGATAATCGACATATTCAGGTCAAACGAAACTACAACAAGCGTCCAAAAGGCGTAGTTACGTAGTTACTTCTCTCCATGTTTCTTCAAGCGGAGTCTGTAGGTTGGCATCTTCTAAGCAACGCTTAGAGAAGAAATGGAAACTGTAGGATATGTACGGAATACTCTTTTGCTATGACAAAACTTCGTTATGGTGGGAACTCGAAAGGGTTATTCCGCCGGAGAAGTTTCATCACTACTTTCGAGAAGGGTCCCAATAAAGACTGCTTAACCTAATGACATTTACTCCACTGCTTTTCTAACGCTTTTGTAGAAGCTGACTACATTAATTCGCTTTTCCTGTATATTGGAGAGGCTTTCGCCTTCTCCATGGTGCGCTAATTCAAAAGAAGTAATTACTCTTCTATTTTTTCGGTTCTCAAGCCTTTTAAATAAAACGAGGGAGGGATTTATCCCCACTTATAGCCGATATGGCTTCGAGATGCAAAAAATGGAGACAGTAATCCTGAATAAACAGATTTCTTTGACATCCAATTTTGCGTAATTAGGGGCTTTAGAGTGCGGCGTCAAATTCTCAAAATCACTTTTACAGTAATAGCCATATTTCTATAATAATTAACTCAATTGCGTTAAAATTCCGTAAGAAATGGGAGGTTACCAGTCCTTGAAACCAAAACGCCATCTCCATTCCAAGAGTAGATATTCTAATTTATGTTTCAGGTCAAAAGATGTGCAAAAATAGAAATCGATGAAAGTAGAATGTCGATCAATTGCAATAAAGACATGCATAAAACAAGTCTTGAAATAGTTTTTTATTCAACATGTCACTTTGACCATGCGCCAAAGTTAGTGCTATCATGGGTCCTTCCGTGTTTCAAGAACCCATAAAAACATTCACTTCTAAACTTAGAATTACCGCCCAGTGCAATAGATACTCACATTTCTCCTGTTCAAGAGGCTTAGGAGAAGCAAAGCTTATTAAAACCATTCTGTAATTGAAAGTCAAATGTTTTACGCAAGGCGAGTGTTCCAAGTACACACGAATGTATGCACCGGTCTTCACAAAAAAGTAACTGCTTAAAAGGGTAATGGTTAGTATCCACAAAGGTCCACCTATTTACACATGTGCATATAAACCCGTTGGAATTGCCATTTCCATTTGGCTTCAAAATTAATTAAGTACATAGTACAAAGTATCATAAGGTAGGTCGAGTCGGGGTGCCCCATTTCCAACCAAACCTGATATACCTCTGCATTCCCCCACTTTATCGACCTCATATTGAACAAAAACTCATCTCTAATTCGGCTTTTTCTTGCTTACTGGCATTAATGGTGTTTGTTATTCTAACTTTCTCCTCTATTCACATAAAACTATAGACGGTTCATGACAGTACCAATTCATGTTTTAATTTGATGGAATTTTCAAACGAGATAACTTTACGAAACTGTACTTTTAACTTGAAATCACAATAATTCTAAAATTTTTAAGGGCAAATTTGAAGTTACAAAAGTATCCTCTAGTCATAAATAACCAACTCAGATGATGACGCCCCATTTGCGAGACAAGGTTCCAGACCCTCGATTCGCGTAATCAAAAACAAACAAACTGAATGGGCATAAATACGCCTTTATTGACACTGACCTTCTCGATCAATGCCGTTTTAGCCGTCTACACATACGAGTCAATATTTCAGGATCTGTCCACCAGCTGTCAGGATGCGATAGATCAGTATATGTGCTTCCAATTGATGGCATAGGAAGGGGACACGATAAGGCAATAAAAAGTAAAACTAGAGTAATAAACCTAAAAATGAAAAAGAGGAAGCAATAGCAAAACAGCCAACAACTAATATTAGTAATCTGTAACTGTAATTACATTTCAAACCTGTCAGCACTCATGTGCAGCGTCCCGAGACTCCGTGGAGACGAAAGAGGACACAATACTCGGGCAGAATGTATATATTCAGCACGGAGAAGGTGTCCGGGCTATTGGCATGGCCCCAAAAGGCCAGCCCACCCAGCGAGGTACAAGGGGCTAATTCAAAGTACAAAAGTGGCGCCTCACCAGAACTGAGGGATAAACCACTACCGTATTACACATGGTATCGACAACGTAGTGGCCATTTGTAAATTGTCGTTGTACCAAGCGTTGTACCACTAGGACTCATTACACACTACCCCATTCACACTAACCTGCTGAGTCCCATTCCCCTTCACAAACATGGGTATGCGCACTTCACCTCAGCGAGTATTCGACATCTTTCCACGTTTATCTCGATGGGAGAATTAGATCAGCGCAAGCACTATCATCAGGCCTCATTGTACGCCCCCACCCATCATCAACTTCTTCACTTCTCCTCTGCACTGATTCTACTAGGAACTACTTTACCTCTAAACAAACAGCTTATCTGTCTTGCGTTCATAGCTCTTTAGAGGCTGCAACTTGGTTTCACATCTCGCATTAACGATATTCGCGCTTACTTTCCTGCCGATACTCCCCTCTATCCTCAATTGTCTGAAGCGTGTCACGGTTAGACCATCCCTTCAATTCCCTCTTAGTTTTTTATTTGAAGGATGCCAACAGACAATTAGATGTGTCAGTTCATTATCGATATCACTCAGCAAATTCGTACAAGTGTGAATAGCTGTTATGGAGGCGGGTTTTTAATGTCCCCTTTGCTTTTTCCATTTACTTCCAACGTACACCCAAAATGGGTGGTGTAAAGCAGAATAAAAAAGCAGCCACCCCAAGCATAAAAAAGCAGATATCTCTCTCCTTTTTAAGTTTAGAAACTAAAAGGAAAACGAGTAGAGGGGAACTGACAAATGGCGTCATGATGGAGGGGGAGTTTGGAAAAGTGGAGGAAAAAGAAGAAAGCAAGTCTATATCCGTTAATGTTGAGAGGAGTGAGCAGAAGTCGTGTGCTGGTGACGAGACGGAATTTACATGACAAAGAAGTCACTAAAGTCGATTTAATTCGTTGGTAGAGGGGAGAGAGGAAGACTCAAGTGTAAGAGAGGGCAGCATGAGGACTGCGCGATGGTGGTGCGACGGAGGGGGAAAGCACACGCACGAACACTCGCGTGCGCACCCACTTACAGGACAGGAAAAATGCAGTAATCATCGCTGTGGTGAAAAAATGTAGGGAAGGCATTATTTAAAGGTCGTAGAGGTCTACGATAGGCGGCAACGAGGAAGAACAGGTGTCGTATTAGCCAATATGAGGAGGAAGGGGAGAGAAACGGCGAAGAGTGAGGAAAAACGGTGGCAACGGAGAATGTACGATCTAGAATATGCACGTTTTCACTAATAATTTTAAAGTGAAAATTTCAAGAGCCATCGGTAGTTATAAGACTTACGCTAAGTTGTCAAATCTTCATTGATAATAGGAATCTTCACGTTAAACTCACTCCGTCGTTAAACTAGAAAGGAGAAAACCATACCAATTTTGTCGAACACGAGTACACTACTATTAATTTGATGAATAAGCGACGTTGTTCTGATAAAGCCCTTACTCACTGAGTAAGGCAAAAAATAATTAACTTTGACTTAACAATTACCTAATCAAGTTGGAAGTCTGAATTTCATTTGATTTAAGTAGGCCGTCTAACAAAAATTAAGAACATGCAAAGAAAGAGCAAAAAACACCACACATGGTAGGGGACAGCAGTGTTCTCTGCCGTCGGACAGAGGATGGGACAAGAAATGTCTCATGTCTAGTATCTACGTAAAATTATGAAGACCCCAGTCTTATAGCAAAACGCTTATATCATTTATGTATTTCAACATAACCACCTTTCTATCTACCTTTGTCGATAAATTCCCCGGAAAATTGCACTCAAATTCCTACCTTCTTCGGCTAGAAAGATCGACAAACGGGGAGTAGTTGGTGAATTTATGGTTAATATTTCTTGCAAATAAATATGTACTTTGTGTATAAATACACAAAAATTCGTCCTATCTAGGCTGGAAGAGCTTAAAAACGAAAAAAGAATCGGTTTTCCTTACTATTGGATGCACTTTCGACGGTACTCATCGGGAGGTTAGTAGTGGATGGCGGTTGTTGGGTTTCATCTGAACGCCTAGATACATAAACAGATTTCATCAATCTGTTTCCCACATCAATGCTGAAAATGTTTATATTCAACCCTTAATTGACTTAAATTGATAACATAAGTTCAAGCTCAAATACTAGTTGGCACCGCACAATTATGGAAGAGAGAAATCGAAGTGTAGTAAGTGAACCTGTTTTCGGAGAGGACGTCGTCGTCAGTTAGGGCAGAGGATGACGGGGAGGTGGCGGAGGTATGAGTAAAAGCACCGGTCAATCGACTACCACTTCCGACAGTACCACCACCGAAGAAAGACTGAAGGAGTGGCGAGGCGAAGTGAGTTCCGGAGGTCTTTGGGAAGGCGTTATGGTTAGGGACGGCAGATGAATCTGCTGGTTCACGCTGAAAGACGTTTAACTGCTCCGAAATCTGCGGAATTAAAAAATCGGAAACGATCTGCAAGTCCATCCAGATGATGTTTAGAAACAAAGCATTGTTAAGAGACAACGCCAGCTCGAAAATTAAAAAATTCAATCAAAAGTAGGAAATAATGCAAGGAAGAATTAATAAGTGAATCCTATCGAAGCACGAATTTTCAGGTTAAAATATTGATTAAGTCAGAAGTTGGAAGGAGAATAGCTTGCGAGTTTCATAAAAAACCGCCACAAACTTTTTTGAATCCTTAAAACATTGATAAATATGGTCTGACTGGATATGGTTTTATCTTTTTGACTTTAATTAGCGTTATATTTTTCTGGACATATGGGTTAGGTGTCCCGCATTCAGCATCTAGGCGATTCAGAAATCATCGAACTAGTTTAAGTAAATGCGAATTAGCGATAAAAGTGTGGTTCAACCAGAAAGAGGGGATTTGCCTACCGAAAGGACCTTAACATACTTTAAAGTGACTTCTGGTGTAAATCCAATCCATAAACAGGTAGCAAAACCCACTTGTTACGGAAAAATTTCCTTAATAGAAATAGAAAGCCAAAATACTACTAACCGAGATACGAGCAGTAAAGAATTTTTACAAACTGCCCCATTAAGGGACAAATATTCACAAATTACTTTGCTACGAGTCCGTTCCGATGGATAGGTGTAACATTGTAGGCACTAGCCATAAGTGATAAGCTCATTCTAACCAACTAGATTTCTTAAAGGAAACATGTAGATCGCCTCGCCATAAATTTACTACCGAAAACGAACAAAAACGCTAATGTTACTGGGCAAGACATGGAGAGGCGAAACCAAATAAAGCGTTTGTCCGGTAATAAAAACAAGTGACCACTTAGTCGGAAGGAAATTCGGTGCAAAAGCTGGTGTCGTCACTAACGTACATCGTGTGATATTGGTGATGAAGCCTCAAAGTATATTAGGAAAAAAACAATGATTACGCAAACGATACAACGAAAGCTTTAGTCTTTTCCTCAGGAGAGGGAAAAGAGAAACAGCGAACAAATCAGTGTTCTGACAATTCTACAAATCACAGCCCCACAGATAAATTTTCTTGAAGAATCGCTGTAGGGAAACGATGCATGACGTTAAAATCCGCTGCTGTTTTCCTTGACGTAAATACGCAAAAATACCCTCAAATTGTATTGAAGAACCAAAAGACATCGCCTGGACCAAGCATGTCATTTGAATGTTTTTTATAGAGGATGCAAATGTTTCGCACTTGGTGAAACCAATAATGCTCACGCAAGACGGAACAGATGCCCTGTCTTTCCATCACTCAAAAATAGAAGACATCCACCAATTCAACACCTTAGGAAAAAACGTAATTTTAGTTTAACACCGACAAAAACACCTACACGAAACAAAAATCAACGGATCCACTCGCGCACGAACATGCAAGCCTACGTGAGGGAGTGTAAAGACAAGAATTGAGAAATGAGGTCATCACTGCAAGTGGTCACCGCGTCGTTTTAATGTTGGGTTACTCACACGCAAACACAAGGGGGCAAGGGAAGATCAGTGACACGAATGTGCGGCACAGAAGCATGACGTCACACACTACTTCCATCCAATTGCTTAACCAAAGTCGGCCAGGGTCGGATGGGGGCGAGCATGAGTGAATAGGAGTGATTAGGTGTGATGAGATTCTTGAGTACACTCACAATAATATAGGAAATAGCGGGGGTTAGAAAACAAATAAGTCGGGATAGGCCATTTGGCAAGATATTACTTTGGAGATATTTTCGGGGAATACGAAGTTGCGGCGATCAATGCACATAAGGCTTCCTGTTTGAAAAGATTATGGGGGAGAATAAAGAAGCGTATACACTTTAAAGAATTCGTAGTGTTTACTGCTACATACGTCGAACTGAACGTGACTGTTTTACCCAACTACGTTCATCGGAACAAAAAAACCCATAGAAGCATAAATGCGAAGGATGAAGGCAATTTTTTGCCTTATAGCCCAAGTGCAAATATAGAGACAAATTCACCAATTGAAGACGGAATACTACTAAAAAATAAACATGATTTATGATAAAGTAAGCTGATTTAAAAGACTACATTAATTTTCACAAAACAATGTTATCGTGGAAGCAAGGTGCATGAGCAGATGAGGTACAAAGTTGATGATAAAATCTGTGTTATTGTTACATGCCTTGGTCCTAGCACAACTAAAGGGGCTGACCAATTAGTGCCCATTGGAATCTAGAAAGTGACGGAGACAAGGCTCATACGAACATAAAGTGCAGATGTCGTGGCTAAATCGAGAAAAGGGATTAAAAAATGAGAATGCACTAGAAATGGTCTCTAAGCAAGATAATTGTAACCATCCTGAGAGAACATGGATGCAAGAAGGCTTTCAAACCAAGCCTCAGTAGCAACTTCATGTCCGTCGTTATGTAGTAAAAAATAACGCATGGGCATAAAAAGTACTCCGGATTAATGCAAATAGTCAATGCGTACAAAATCATTTTACCCATCTACTTAATGCCGATTGTCTGGAAATCTCACTGGATAATCCTTCCACCCATAAAGGGTGTCTCATCGCTTCACGAACAAGTAAGAAAATGACATCACCCCTACATAGTTTTTTTTGGTTTTTTTTTTTGATTGCAGTAGTGCTGACCAATTCTAACAACGAACGAACTGGAATCAAGTAAAAACGATAGGTGTAGATAACGCTACGATGCCCTATTCACCGCCAAGTTTGATACACATCCGGTTAACATCAAGGCACTGTAGTGCAGCGGTTAATCTGGATTCGATGTTTATGTGCACAAATAAAGAACGTCGACTACAACGGACATTTGCCAGCGTATCGGAACAATTCCTATAAGGAGCCGCTTTTGGACAAAGTATAAACGAAAAATGCAATTAATAATTTCTTACTTGAAGGGCTCTCTGTATATAGTTCAAAAATGTAAGTTTGTGAGAAAGGCATCAAGTTATGTGGGGTGGTGTAAATAATATCTGAATAGAAAAGGAGCTCATAGCACTAACAAATGTTACAAAACCGTAGAGGTTATAACACGAAAGACTAGGAAAACAACGGGGAAACAACTCAATTCTATTCCAGATAGGGATATCTGAATCTACCGACTACACCCAAAATCGAATTTCCCATTTAGAGGGTGGGACTTGTGATTTAAGATATATACATTGTCAAAATTGTCAAAATCACATTTGACTCAATCGTGAGTACTTAAATAAAGTAATAAACCAGCATTTTACACAGTAAACACGTGATTGACATGAGCCAATGGTAATCAGCTAATTTTTTGGAGAAATTTCGAGTTACTCACGTAAAAATAATAACGCACACAGACACAATGATTCGTATTTCGAAAACATTAACTACAGCTAATTTTGCAAATCGATTACCGCCTAAAAGCAGTAGATGGGAAATAGATCATGATTTCTTGTAAAAGACTCACCAAACACTCGAACTATCACCAACGGGAATTTAGTAACAAATCAGTCTATAGAACGAACATAGTACTATATGATTACCTCGTTTATAGCATAAGACTATAGAGGATCCTAGGGGGTCGATTCTCAACCCAATCATCATAAGTAACTCAAACAAATAGGGCGGGCCAGGATGAAACCCTTGCATAACTCGTCACTACATAAGTTGTGTACGGTGTGAGTTGACGCCAGTAGATACGTTTAGCCCAACCGCCTCTGCTTCAAACTTCATGTATGATAATGAGGCCTTTGAGACCTACTGCTCTTTTAGCAAAAGACAAAATTTCCGAAATGAGTTTACATGAAAGGACAAAATAATCCTCCTCAATAAGTTCCGAATATTAAAATACTACACATAAGCTACGTAGTTATTTGGGAATACTTATGAGCGATGATTAATCAAATAATGAACAAATCAACATACGACGAAGTCGAAATATGAGCCGAAAAAGAGTACGAAGAGAAAACGAACGTAAAAAGGCATAAACAAGACGCTTGTAAGCAAACAATTTCATACATGCTAAATTGAGTAATGATAACCGAGTTTTATGATATTTGGCTTAAATAAGGACTGTGTTTGAAAGCCGCGCCTTCGTATAATGCGAAAGGGCATAAAATAGACCATAAAGATATGAAATATGAATGCGTGAACGTGCAATGGGATCCAGAGAGAATTGGACAGCGGGTTTAGCCTCGCTCTCAGTCGAAGTAATGATGCTTGCGACTCCAGAGGCGGCTCCAATAAGACTGTTAGAGCTCTCTGAGCTGGTCACGCCGCGGCTAAGCGAACGATCACTGCGATTCACCCGTGACATAATGCTATCCAGCCGTTTCTTGCGCATCGCCCGCTCCTCTTCTGCCTTGCGGAAGTTCTCCAGTCGCTCACGCTCTATGGCCTCCAGCTGAAGAAGAACGGAGTGGGGGGATTACATGGTGAAATTTTGGCTCAGGGTGAGGATGATCTTCAACGCTCGCCTTTAGACATTGCAACAGTAAGGGGTAGTGCTGAAGCACTAAATATCCAGGCGGGCTAAATTTAAGCAATCGTGCTAATGCGACCGCAAAGTAGGCTATTTGACAAGAATTTACTTCGATTTTCCCCGTGAAGTCGGTCTTAAAATGTTCTTTTTTGACATCATGATGTATTCTGAGGTCGCGAATGAAGGAAATCAGGGAGTGAAAATAGCCTTAACTTATTTCCATACCAAATTCTATTTCGAATGGTAATGACACTGCACCCAAATGTTAAACGTTTCTTCATTAATTAAAAATTCCTCATTGTCTTCCAGATGCAGTGAAGATAAAAATCTTCGCCTTTTACGCTTTCACAATTACGGACCAGATCATACCGCATCAAGTTATGATGCCTCAAAGGTGGAATCTCCTTATACACTAATTGAGAATCGCGAAAACATGCGTACGGCATTCTTTTAAAAAATGACTGAAGGGCGGTCAAAACAGAAAGGTACTGGATTTTTGAGTTTGAAACTCATAGAGGCAACCAATTCTTGCCATGCATTCGCCTTTCTAACAAGCAGCAGCTACGAGAGCATTGATAACTGAATGCCGTGCTCACGAAAAAATGCCGCTTGAGTAATCAGAAAACAAGCTCTTTTGTAAATGAAAAAGTTCTCATTACGTTTGGTAATCGCACCAGTGAAATTAGTTAAATGTCAACTGCACGGCAACTTTTCCTTGATCAAAAGGGAACGCCTTCACTCCGAAACTACATACCATCATCAGCGTTTACTGGAATCACAAACTATACCTATTGGATTGAATAGGCGTCACATGCAGACCGTTAGATTAGAGAGCCAGTACATCTACGAAACGAAATAGTCCCAGAAGGAGAGTGGAATATTTTAATCTTGTAAAGCGTAAACAGGACAAAACAGAAAGCACAGTTACCAAACCGCGCTCGCAAGGTGAAGCAACGGTAAAAGATTTACTTGCACTTTTAGAAACAAAATAAAGTGAGGATTAGATTACCTTTTATAGAAGTAAACCAGCAACTACAATTTGCTACTTTTTTCTCAACTAAGAGAATAATAACTACTCTAAAAGAAGTGGGCAGTTTGACGTAAGTTTCTTGGAATTTGGTAACCCATCATTCAACTTAAGACGGTTCGGCTGCTCTCCCACCAAAATACTACGAATTGACTTCACTTACCAAAGGTACAAGCATAACAAATTGAAGATTTCAAAGCTGCCACACATCCTATAGAGAAGCGATTCTCCAGCCTACACGAAAAACCTGTGTCAGAGATCTACCTGAGTATTAAAACTCATTCTTATTTGAGTGACAATGTGAGTCAAGCAAGCTTTGATGTCTTGTTTGTCCAATCAGAACATATGGGGTCATTCATTCCATGTAGCAAAAGAAGCAGGGGTATAGGGAGGTGAGGAAGCAACCAAGTTCCCGTGCGTCGACGTACCGGCGATTAACTCGTTCATCGAACCAGTAATTAGGGCTTCAATAGCATTATAAAAGCATGAAGACATACTACCACGTTACTGCCAGTGGGCCTAGCCACGATTATAGGCCAATCGAAAATCCGAGGAAGTGAAGTCGGCAGATGGAGATTGATAGACGGGTATAAGAAAGGGAACTTACCAAACGAACCCACCACCAAACTGCAAGCGAAAAAAAAAACCCGTCTCTTTCTACCCAAAATGATCGTAGATCCCGTAATCATTAACGTCTTCGTGGGATAGCAACCTTGCACACATTTCGCAGAACTCGAACATGGCAGAAAAGTATGGATTAATAAAACGCAGGAGGGGTGGGAAATCGCACTCGATGAACTCCATGTGACTCAGCCAAAGCGCTGTGCATTCTAAAAAGGGCTTCATTAAAGGTTTTAAAATATCGCAATAGCCAAGTAGATGACCTCCATTCACTTTTATATTTGAGCTACCAGTGAGTAGAAGCGTGAATGGAAGGTGGCTCTGATCTTCTACATTCCACATATAAGGAAGGAATTGTCGTTTGGGCCCCTTTTCAACTCAATTTACTGAGAAAATGATGTTTTAATGAGATAAAGGGAATAGGGTTGCGTTTCACCACAAAATTGCCAAAAGAACTTAATTGAATATTACGAATACAAAAGGGAGTAATTTGAAAATACTAAATTAAAACGGCGCCTTAATGGCTTTTGCCAAACTGCCGTTGATGCCAAAATTTCCATTCAAAACGAAAATTGCGGGACACCCACAGTGTCATACGACAATTAATTAAGTAGAATAACACAAATGAATGGGCGATATCAAAGGCTTCTGCATACGAGATGAGAGTGACTTGATGCGTCACTTCATGATGAAGTACAACGAGAAAGAAATAGTGCCGATGTGAGATACGTAACTCCATTGTCACGGATAACGAAAGACAGGCCCACTAAAGCCTGAATTAAATCAGAAAACAAAGAAGCTTCTGAGCCATTGGACGTTTTCAAAATTACAAGCCACTAAATACAGAATCGGTCAATGTGTAAACATATGAGATGGAAAGACGAGGAGATGTAAGCGATCAAATAAGATCCTCAGTGGTAACATTTGCAACCGATTTTATTGTAGTGCACAAATGAAGGGGTTTGTGAAAGAAATGAAGAAGATGAGATTAGACGCACCCTCTGGCGTTCTTTAGCTGCGCGTTCCTGAGCTTCACGTTCAGCATGAAGACGCGCCTCCTGTTCAGCGGCCTCGCGAGCGACTCGTGCCTCGGCGGCCAGTCGGGCCTCTTCGATCGCACGCTCGCGGGCAGCCTGAATGGCCGCTTGACGCCCAGCCTCACGTCGCTGCTTTCGCTCCCTCTCCTCCTCTGCCTCTCGTCTGTGCGCACCCAAGGAATTTTAAATAAATTGGAACAATCTCAGAGGCCCTGACTCCAATCAGATGAACTGTTGATTCATAACGGAGGATATCATTGTTACTGCTCTGCACGTCAAATGTTTAGCTAGGGCAGATTCCCATATCTGATTTAGGTTTTCCGTTTTGACATCCTTGGTGATAGTATATTCCGCATATCAAGCATCATCATCAACTCCTTTTTTGTAAGGTTATAGTCAAAGGTCTAGTAGAAAACGATTAACAGATATCTGTTAAAATTCAGCACAGTTCTTGACTAAATAACTGGCTTATAACAAAAACAATCGCCTTTGAGCGTGAAAGAAGAGATAAGAAAGCTGGTGAAAGGTTAGTGTTATCAATGGCAACGAGGCTAAACATAAAATGACAATGACGCCACATTTAAGACGCTTTTCGTGGGAAAGCTGAGACGAGGTACCAGGGTTGACGACTCAACATTATTGCAATTTACCTACTATTTTGTCGAAAGCGGGCAACTGATAACGATGGTACTATGAAGCAGGCTAGGGACAGATGGCTAAACACCCTAAACATGGTGCTACAACTTGCTAATAGTCGAGCAAACTAATGAGTTTGCAGAGGCATAGGCGTCTCACGCACCGGATGAACAGGGAAAATTAGTGATATTGAAGTTGAACGAATTTTAATTGCTGTTCCAACATAATTCATTCAGAATATTATCAGTTACCATTGGTTACATAAATGGAAACTAATTTATTTTTTCACCAAAAAAAAAGCATTTTCTTCCAGGTCGATTTTAATGATAACTCCCATGCATGTACTATCCCCACAAAGTGGCAGATTGAAAAGGCCGAAGTTGTTTTCCACATAGTCCACCAGTAGCGTTTTTCCAAGCACCAGACATCGACTAGTGACCAAGGTGGAGTGTTTCACTTCATGCCATGCCGGATGCGAAAAATTCTATGAGCGACAATAATCTCCCTAAGCTTCGGTCGCTAAATAACCCATTGGAAAAATCCACTATGATTTGCAAGTGATAAGATAACAGAGTCCGGTACAACGAAAAATGTGTGACTACAATAATTCTGTATCAGTCACTCTTAAAAAGGATAATTAGCTATTTGCGTGTATACATACAAATTATGGTTTATTGTTAGTACTCTATAACAAATTTCGAGGCTCTCTAAAGCAAACGTTTAAAAAATCGTTTAAACAAAGCTAATTTATTCGACAGCAAGAGAAAAAAACTGTCCTTATTTAAAGGTGATTAGCATTATTGATAAAGAAAAGATATAAAGCATTTTAATCGATCCCTTTTAAATAAATTAGTGCATGTTTAACCCAGGCTGGTGAGAACCGGAACTGCTGCACAAATAAGCAAATTACTCACCGCTCTTGTTCAGCCAATCGCTCCTTAGCCAGCCGGCGCTGTTCCGCCATTTTGGCACGATAGATGGCCGCTTCTTCCTCTGGTAAACAACCACCTTCACCAGATCCCGTGGTTGACGCTTTAATGGGTCCACTCGTAAGCTGTAATGTTGAATTTTGCAATTTCTCCTGAACTATCCCCTCCATAATGTCATCATTCCCTAGGGAAGCGGGTTCCTGTGCCGCTTCGTGATCCGCTTCTGGTATGGCATCGTCAGGAGCGTTCGACGCTTTGACCGCCACTCTATTCTTCGTACCTACTACAACGTTGTTGACTTCTTCGGCGACCGAAGACCTGGTCACTCCTCTCTCTTCCTTTGCCCTCGCAAAATTCTCGACTTCTGTCTTCTGACTTGTGTTCTCAGGCTATACGAGAACAGATACACATGAATTGACTGGCATTTAAAAGACCTCACAGTTCCTGAAATACGCGCTAAACATACCTCTTCTGTGAAAGACACCCGTGATGTTTCTTCCACATCGTCAACAGCTGTGGATGCTCCGGCAAGATCAAGTTCAAGGCGTGTTTGAACTGGTGGAGACGGTCCCATTTTTAGATCCTGGAATTTTGCTGCCAGGCCCCTAGAGCAATCCATCCGCTGGGCAGACCCTTGTGCTGGAAACAGGAACTCTAGGGATTTAGTGAATGATGTTGTAAAATCGGAAATGTAAAAAAATGATGTAGGGAATAATGCAGAGGAATTAGGCCCTTCCGCATGTGACTTTTTGGTAGTAATTACAAACAACAAGGGTGGGCAACGCATGACGCCAGTAACCTCTTTTACAGCATGAAACTAATAAACCCGCCTAGTGATGCACGAACTTTTACGACGGTTTAGTTAACCACAGTAATAGTAAGCCATCAAAATGTGCTAAGGAAACAAAGAAGCAACTTAACCAAATATCCTTACAGGCAACGCCACCACACGATAAATTTTAAGTAGATGAGAAGTTAAAGCCTGAAGTACCTTTAAATTGAATAAATTAACATATTTAAGGATTAACATCGTAAATGTTATCAATTGGGCAGTTTCAACCACCTGCAATTCTGCCATCTCCATAAAGGCGGTAAAAAGATACGCTGATAAAACGCATGCTACCAGTCTTCTACTTCCACTTTTGCACGGCTAACATCTCCGAGGATAACTACCCCGACGAGCCCTATCCCTTGCAAGGAATATTGCAACCTCTACAGATTAATTTAAAAGGGTTAATAAAAGAAAAACCATCACAGAAAGCACCTGCCTTGGACAGCCAAACCCAGATATTCGCAAATGAAGGGACTATTATAACGCCACTAACCTTAAGCTACTACCTCAAATTCAAGTTTTCCATCATTTTCAATAATGTAGCACGAACAAATTTCAACGAGAAATCAGCCATAGAAAGTCCCTAACAGAAACTCCAGAGTGAATAGTGAACATGTGCCAAGGACAAATAAATAATGTTAAAGAAGTAATTAAGGGCAGAGGAGGAAAAAAAACCAGCACACAGCTCAAAGATGTTACCCAATATTTTGTATCGCACTAGATTGGTGTTTCTATTCCGGCAAATGATTTACCATAAGCTTAGGCTTACTGTGGGACATTGCCCAGTTATGATGAGCATTTGTCAGTTAGAGCCCTTAGGAGGTTTCTCAACAGAGTGAGCAACAGATGAATTCCTATGAAATCTGCAAGATGTGGCAGTCCTCTCATTCTAAATAACTATTAGGAAGATCTATATTGTCCATTGGGCGTGATATAAGTGCACACTAAATGAAGCCAACCTAGGTAAACTCACGTGATTTCGGAGGCGGGTCAATTGGCTTCGCTTGATCCGCACGAGGCAAAGGGGGCTTCTTAATGGGCACGGGTTTCGATAACTTGGCGAGCGTCGGCTTCATCATCGATGCCTCCGTCGATTGCGTCTTCGCTGTTGTGTGCTCCCGAACCTGCGAGCACCCGCGACCCTGATTCGCCGTGGTGATGGTGGTGGGGACGGAGGGTCTGCGACTCAGCAGAGTACTTAAGGTGGTCAAACTAACGCGATCCTCACCATTCGGTAGCTTCTGGTCATGCGAGGGTGCTCTTTGACGGTTCATCGAGGCTGTTGTTGGCGCTGCATAACTGTTGCAACGATCTCCTAGAGATGCATGTATAGCACCTTGCTACATCTAGCCTGGTTTAAACCTATACACAGGGATAACCCTCTTTTTTAAACATTACCAGGTGGGGTCGGTTTTCGTAGATCCCATATCTACTTCCATCGTCAATGAATAGGTAAGACAAGGGAGAGTTGATAGTGACACTCTAAGACTGTATCGTTACCGCTTAGACACTTATCATTACCTCTGGCTTTTAGTCCTTCCGTATCACCACAAACTATTCCAGCTCCTGGATCAGAGTATCTGGCACTTCTCCATATTCCAAGAAAATGAGAGAGCTTCACCTAACCCATTTCATTTATTCCACTGTTCGTTCAGAATGCACGTAGTATACTCCACTTCCCAAGTGAACTGTTTGAAACGTTTACCATCTAAATTCATAGCGACAGCTTCATCTATGCCCCGAAAGCGGTTTTAATACATTCTGCTGCCATTGCAATGGCCAGCAAACAAATGAGAGTGTTTGGAATTAAACGTAAAACGAGTCTTCATACCGTTTTTGGTGCACTCACTATATCATGGTAATTCCGTTTACCGTGAAGCGTTTCTGAAATAAGGCGTGAATAACTCTGATAACGTTGCTGCACTCATAAAACCGAAGTGCCGCAGTAAAGATAAAAATTCAAGTCCATATTGACCTACAGATGTCTAAAAAGTTGAGTCAGATTTCGTGCATACATGTGCAATTGACTTACGTAAGCGTAATTGGTGTACGCAGGGGATGAATCAGACACGTAGAAATTATGCATGAAACGACTTTGCAATGAAAAAGAGACTACATTTTCTTAAAGGTGCCTAAAACAATTAGAGGCGTACATCGCAGGATAAAGCATTGAAGGGACTTGCTATAAAAAAAACGAATTTTCATAAAAAGTTACTTCGTGAAAATAGAAAAGTAATAGTGAAATGTTAATAGGAAATAATTGAAAGCAAAAGATCAAAGTAGAACATTTCCAGAATACCGAATTTAAGCAGTGTGATAATAGGTCATTTCACGCTTAGCGACTTTATTTACAGCCCTAATAGTAGTTTGCCGAGAAATCTGCAAGAGAAACTCAGATACGAGAGGAAACCTGAATTGGAACGACCGCACACTTCCACTGAGACATTTTAATTTCATTAACAAGTACTTTCATGTTACTTCGTGAGAAAATCCGTCACAAAGTTGCAGTTTTCAAAATATCACACCATGAGATGGTACAGAGCTTTTAAAACCATATGTTAACTGTCAAAATTTAAGAACAAAATACATGAATGATCTCAATGCAGAAAAGCGGATATTTGAAGATTGAGTCAGATACGTTGTTTAGTTGTTAAATCAGTAATGATGAGCAGTTACTTGATTATAACCGATTCGATATAAGAGACCCAAATACAAATTTAATCTCACCGAGTACTTCACAAATTATTGATAGTGCACACGCTTTCCAGCACTTCAATGAGATTCTGCGATTTTGAGAAAAGCAATCCTTGAAATCTACTCACTATTGTTTGCCATCATAGAAAGTCACTAAACATGAAATTTGTACAACGCAAGAGAGGCTGAAAATGTCCCTTCTAAGGCCACCTTTGCTACTGCATTGACCATTCTCATAATTTGTTTACCTTCAAAAAGTGACTAGATTAAAACGACTCTAAAAAAGTCCTAAAAACCGGAAGGCAGCGTCTTTCATGTTGTCAAAAAAATGGAAAGCATTATTTAAATTTCATAAAAAAGGAATGACTTTAAGCCGTTGTGATTACAGTGATGAAGCGTTGGATACACCCACACACTCAAAATGCCGAAATTATTCACAACATTAAAGGTAAGAGCCCAAGTGACAGAGTGAACGTTAGGGAGGTGAGGTATCGACACTGCATTATCAACATGTACGGCTATGCGCAGACCTGAAATATAGTGTCTGCGTCATCGGACATTTAACTGTGTGTATGTCTGGGTGACGCATCCAATCATATCCATTTCTTCTGGAAGTAGGGATACCTCTCTGAACCCTAGCCACTCAGAAGAAGTCAAAATTTCGAGAATGTAATCATGACTAAAACGAAGTCCAGCGGCATGTATTACCGCGACATGGAGAAAACTAGTCGGTACACGGACCCAATCGAGCAACAAATTAATTAATCGACTGAGTTCAGTCTTCTTAAGACATTTAAGCATCTATTCAAAGGTCTACCAATGGCAAAGGATCATCCACCAGCCCTACTTCTCATGGCAAAGGTTCTGCCTATGGGATACAGACCCGACTCACTGAAAGTGTGAAATGCCATTTCTTTGGATAAGAGCATTTGATGGTATTATAAACGGTGACTTGTAACAATAATACGTCCTAACAATATAACATAAACACGAGTTGTCCAAACGCATGCTCGATTTTCAGCAAATAGAGTACAAAATAAGCAAAGGCAACTCACTGGGTATATTAGAGCGCCCAGGCACAGCTCTTCGTTTAAGTGGGGCATCATCACTTCTAGATGCGTCCACCTTGCATATCACATGAACTGGGAGCTCAGGAAGAGGAACGCCTATAAACGAAATGGAAGACACGACTGTCAAATCGGAGGTTAACAGGAGTTCCCACACACGCATAAACACAGCACTGCATATGCATTAAGACGAGTGAGGAGTAGACTTGAGCGAACATCGTTGCGTAAACGAGTGCACGACTGGCAAAACTTGCCACGGTCCAGCTTATTAATTCAACCAGCATGGTAAGGAGTAGCACCTAATCCTACCCGAACGCAACAAAGCGTTTTCAAAACCACTGAAGGCGAAAAAGCCATTTCTAACCGAAAGTATTTGAGTCCATGAATGGCTTTCATGTGATCAAAACCCAAGTATGCAGACACGGGGAGAAATTATTAATGAGGCGCGTGTAAATGAAGTGAGCCTCATGCAAGAAGTGAAAAGGCGGTAGAGGGCAAACTCTGGGAGAAGGAGTATTAGGAGAGGGAAGGATTGAAACGAGGACGAAGCTTGGCAATGAGTGGGTCTATTGATAGGTTGGTTGTTAAAAGCGAAGCCTTGAGCGAGAGCTAATACCACCACCACTACCATTTAGCCCACTTCCACAGATGGCCCAGGTGAGATGAGATCGCATGACATGCTTACCCCTCACTTTGCTAGCATAGGCGATAGTTGGTTCGGCAAAGTGCTGCGAACTCGTGGCCCTTCGAAGCGTTGGTAGACTCGCCTGTCCAGCAGCCTGCCTATCCGTCGGTCGCAAACAGTGGTGTTGCAGTGGCTGCTGCCTAGTTGCACTAACAGCTCTGCTCCTGTTCTCGTCAACTACCCGAATTGGGCGCGAGGAAGTGAGGATGATGATGGAAGGGGAAGGCAGATATAAAACTGGATTTAAATGACAGCGATGGGGAACCGGAAAAACAAGCGTATGCTACAATTAACAGCGGCGCCCATGAACCATGGAGCTCTCATACTCCTTTCCCTAAGTTGCTTGCGTGATTGCGCTTTAATGTTTTAGTAGGTTAGACGAGCTTTAAAGCTATCGGACCGTGCACATATGCCTCGGAAAGCAGAACGGCGAACTAAGCGACTGACATTTAACAAAGATCTAGAGTAAGCTTGATGAGAGATAGAGCACCGGTGAACAGTGCAAGTGGAAGGGAAGAAGAGGATGGGGGGAGGTAAGGCGAAGCCAAGTATGCGCGAACACACAAAAAGCCAACTACACAAAAAAGAACAGCACAATCTAAAAGCGCGACAGGCATAGCGGCTGAAAAGTGCTGAGTGAATGAGTGATCCTGATGGCGGTGGTGATCACAGGGAGGATACGCGCGCGTGCTATCTCGAAAGCGGAAGACCTCCCCGGTCTCACTTCCACTCTCTCACCCTCTCCATTCGCATACATGCATCTGAGAAGAAGGAGATCAGAAAAAAGAGATAGGAGCAACAGGAAA